GTACCTGATTTCTTCTTCAAGCGCGTCAAGCTCCTTTACCATAACCTTCCTCATCATTTTCGTTTGTTTCAAATACAGCTGCTCCAGTAGATCGATTTCCGTTTGTAATGACTGTGAATTCTCTTCGACTTCCTTGATAATCCTTGTCGATACACGGAGATTGTAGGCGCAAAATTTTCGTCGCAGTTCGTCATCCTCTGGAAGTGCGGTTTTCTCACCTTGGCATGCATACTCTTGCAGTACTTTCGTGAGTTCTTTGGTGTGCCATCTAATTTCTTCTACGTAGTGGCGAGGAATCAGCATCATTGTGTAGCAGTGGCGTACCCAGGATTTCGGCTCGGGGGGGGGGGCGCGACAAAAATTTTTTTCTAAAGAAGGTGCGTGGCGTTAGCCACGCACTCCGAAAAAATTTTGGGGGTGCTTCTCAAAATTTTTGCGGGTCCCCGACCCCTAAAATCTGGAAAAAGGGGGCGTGGCGTCAGCCACGCCCCCGAAAAAAATTTTTTTACAAGGCTAATTTGAATTTTTAAAAATTTTTAATAATTATTTTAATTATTTACAAAAATAAACAAGTCACTTGCACATTTTTATAACCCATATAAGTAACATCCAAAAATTTCGCGACCCATTCTCGGGGGGGGGGGGGGGCGCGCGCCCCCCCCCGCCCCCCCCCTCGGTACGCCACTGTTGTGTAGTGATCCTTTTCGTGCTGCTATTAGAGCGAAGCACTGTGTCGGCCTTCGTGTTTGGCCGATGCACCATAAATGTGGCGGAATAGCGCCTTTGGAATAAGAAGCTCCGCTGTGGTATTAGACGTAAGCTTACAGCTTTATTGAGTCAGACGACCTGCATGGGTGCAGTAGTAGAATGCTGCATATAATGGGCGTGACAAGGTAGTATACATGCATCTGGGCTATGGAGATACTCAATTACAGCAGGTCATGCTTATGGCACGACCTGTACGGTACTTAGCAGTGAGTAAAGTGATACGACAAAGAAGGGTGCCGACATTGTCGGCACAGCATATGCAGACCACATCAAACACTCATTCCGCAATTGCCTATGTTTCCTCCGTTAAAAATCGGAAAAATGAAAATTTTCCACTTTTAACGAAGCAGTAGCTATTTGAAAACGCCCTCTAGGGCTCCGCTGATCGAGAGCGAGTCAGTGAGTTTGCGGCCATTGCGCGCGCATGGGGCTTTCTCTTACTTTTTGTTTTCAAATGCTTTTCTGTTATCGTATGTTGACTTCCAATTACCTGTAACGACTACAATGTTTAATAAGTTTGAGGCCTTATGGCATCGTATGTGTGCAAAGCCGCAAGCTCACCTGCCTTCGCGATCACGCAGAACCTGTTGTTTATCCAACACTGGATTCTCATAAGCTTTTGAAACATGCACATCAATGTCAAAATGTGTGTGATAGACATCTCAATTCTTTAGCACAAGAAAAGAAGTCGAGATATTATTGTTTTTGAGCATACCACCAAATCCTAGCTTGTGAGAAAAACTTTTTGATAGAAAGGAGATGAGAAGAAAGGTACCCTCACAAACACTGAGATTCAAACTGGAACGACATGACCTGTCAAAACAGCAAAAGTGCTTTCTAATCCCTCTACTCCTTTTTTATTGAAGCATAACTCAAAAAATGAAAAATGATCGAGGCAAAAAACTGAAATTGTCTAAAGAACAGCAACATTTTAAAAGTGTTTTCGAACAATTCAAGTTTGTCATAGAAAGAGACAATCAGGTTTTTTGAAAATCGTAATTTTCGATTGTGTGCCTTCGACAGGCCCGTCTCAAAACTAATAAGTCTGTCCTAGCGCTAAAGGGGCATCTGATTGTAAGTTGTACAGGTCTGACCTTGCTCCAATTTAAAAGAGTGTTTAATGTTCACTGAAGTCCTGCTTCTTTATGTCTTACCCTACATTGTTGTTTATTCCTACTGATCGAAAGCTTCTGCTTTAAACATGCTTCGTGGCTTTTATTACGTGAGTAAGGGGTGGAAACAGGAGGAGTTAAAGTTCGACCAAATTAGTATCCAAATTAGTATATTTGCCTCGACTTTTGCCTTTTGCCGTAGATCTTTCTTTTCTGATAAATTTATTGAGGCAGATTCAGTTTCTTAGCTTTGTGTATAGCTCTCCTTTGAACTATGTAAGGAAAAGAAAAACCCTTGATTTATAGTTCAAATAGATTTAATTATTTATACAAAAACGGTGCTTAAAGACTTAAACAATTAGATAGCACGTTCGTGATCGACGTGTATGTGCCGCTTTCATTTTAACACATTCACGACAAGGCCGATTTTTCGATATATGATTTATTTCAATTTTTGGCAGAATACGGTAAGGTTACGGTTCATTCTGTACGAACCCAACTTCAAGAATTTGCGTGAAAAATTGTGTTTTGGGGTTATTTCACGTGCTGATCACGTTTATAGTGTCCAATTTGTTCACTACTTTCTCACAAGGGATTACGGTAACAGTACGGTAGAGTTTTCGTTAGAAGCAATAAAATGGTGTAAGGAGGCGGTATTAGAACTTGAGACTTTCGTTTTCGTAATCAGCATGGTAAAAAACCTATATTTGTAAGGTTTGAGCTTCCTGGAATGAAGAATGTGAAAAATCCGAATCAGTAAAATCGATAATTTCTTGATGGGCTGACATCAGTCTCGTGCCCTCTCTGCATTTCTCGTGCATGTAGAGTTGAATTTTCAAAAAGAGCACCACTCTGCGAATAAATTGAGCTAAAATTTGTGCCTTACCTCTATCTACAGTATACCTACCGTAAACATCACAGTATCCCGAACCCGGGCCACTCTGGCTGGGGCTTTGCCATGGTGTCCCCAACCATGTATCAGAACCCCGTAGAATTCCATCGTATACTGACAAAGCTAAAGCTTCAGAAATCTTACGACCCACCGGTGGGTCGTATTGTCGTGAATGTGCTAAAGGATTTTTACAAGAAGATCGAGAGGATTTTTCTGATTCACTTTTCGAAGTCCCCCAAACAGTGATGCTGTGTCGAAAACTTGCAACAATGCTAAACTCAACGAGGTTTTTCTATTCTTAAACTTAGTTTACCACTCCTTCGCTAATTACCGTTATTATTAGAAAATTTACACTTTATTTCTGGTAAATTCTCTCTGTGAGCAGAGTATTTACAAATTAGTATGTGCGGTCAAAAAGGTCACAGCTGTTAAGTCGTATGTTGGTTTGTTCAGTGCTAGTGCTGGTACATTTGATTGGTCCGAATTTCGACGACGATCGAATTGAAGAGGTGCATGAAGAGGGAGGGTCAACGATGATCTGATGTTAGCGATAACATCACTTGCGTTAACAATGTTAGATAGACCCATTTCGCAACACCATATAAGTACAGTAAGCATAACGAAAGACCCTCAAAGGCATAAGTACACCATTTTCGTAAATATCATGTCGAATAACCCCTATGAGCCAAGTTTCAGCGAATTCTGAGATTTCCAAGTATTGGGCCATATGAGAGATGGCCATTTTCAGACATGCTACTTTCGTTTTAAAAGTGAGTTGACTTCTTTTTTCTGCGCTCAATACGGATATCAACTTTGTCTTCGCTCACATCGCACTTCCACTTCAAATAATCTCCAAACTATGGAACTTAGAGCAATCCAAAATCTCGTTTACTCCATTTTACGCTTGTAATATCTAGATTAGAGAAGACCAATCAGACTCAAAACAATTTTATGTAAGTTATGAGGCTTAGGCTATCAAATATATTTATCCATGTCGCCTTCTTTCGCGATTTACGTGGTAGCGTATACTAGGCACTTTAACGCAACCCAATATTTTCGCAGCATTTTACATTTGCATAGGTAAGAGAAAACACTATATCTTTTTTAAGAAGAAACGATTTCAAATGATTTTCCTATTGTGTAAAAAAGAAGTTTAGCAATGGCAACGATATAAAAAACGCAAATTTTTGAATGGTTTGTAGGTATGTTAATGGGGTGTGGCACAACCTTTGAAAAGGTGTGGTAGCCACAGCCTTTATGAGGTCGTACCACACCGACCCCAGAAAAGCTGTAAAAGCAGAAGCGTTGCTGAAAGGACCCATTTCAACCGAAAAATGGGACAAACAAAATTTTGGCTGGCCCCTATTTCCATAGTTTGATGGTAATTTGAAGCAGGGTTCATAGTATGAGCAAATAGGGGTCAGTGCTCAGTGCTGAGTGCAAAAAATAGCTAGTTCATTGATTAATCATGTTTGAAAATGACCATTTCACTAGAGTGGCCCAATACTGAGAACCCGAAAATTGCCGAAATTTGGTCCACAAGGGTTATGTGACATGATAATCACAAAGGTGTTAGTAAATATACTTGGTAGCCATTATGTCATGCTTACGTTAGGCAAGCGAAATTGGGCGAGGGGGAGAGTTGTATCCGGCGGTTGTATGCCACACTTCTTGCTCGATCCTGAACATCACTTACAATTACTTTGTGCGCAATTCAGTAACTTAGAGTGTATAGAAACTGTCATGTGCATGCAGAAAACCTTTCGGTTAGAGAAAAATGGAATGCGAATGGATAGAAGAAAAATATGACATTTATTTTTAGATTATATCAAAAGCTATGTTTGATTAGTTTATCGCTCATAACTTTCTTCGGCATATGAAGATAGCGCGTGAAAGCAAATACAGCAAATTTATTATTTTGTATGTGCTTGCATGTCAAGAAATGACGTGGAAGCACATGATTTACTAGGAGGCGGACCTAGCAATAAGCATCCCAACAGTACCGCCCAATTTCGAAAAGCACACTGTCATCACCTTGAGATGTGGTTGCTCTCAGCTGCAGCTGTCTTCATTCAGGTACTTACGCTACCTAAACTATTTCAGCTCACTCAAAGTCATTTTCCAAGTGTGGCCGAACTCTTCCCTGCACCTTCAGTCAAATAGAAGGAAGCTTCTCAGCCGTCAACAAAACCACTGCACTGACGTCGACAGAGTCTGAATGCTTCAGTATGTGCTCTGCAGACGAAGAGTGCACCTTCGTTCGATTTCATGAGGTATTCCGAGAGATATATAGCGGAGTTTGTATCAAATTTTGAGAAATAATAAGCTTTTGCATGTTTGCGCATGGCAACCATTTTTCTACAAAATCTTGAAAGGTTAGCGAATTTCTCTGAGTGGTTGTTGGAGATATGCAAATGAGAAATTATGAAAAAGGTAATAAAAATTTATTGAAAACAAGACTAACTTTAGGTAATTCCCAGAAAACACAATTAAAAAGTGAAAATATGAAACTTTGAAGGAATGAAGTGTCAGTATAAGTGAGTGGTCAAAAGTGGTAATCACTTCTCTAAGCGCTCCAACTATAATTTGAACTCTACTCGTACTCATGGATCCAGCGATTTTTTGGTGTCGAAAGCGGATCTCATTTCCGCGTTCTCAGTGAAGATTCTTCATAGAAATTTAAACATAACCATAATTTGCTATCACTAGCACAAAAATAATATCTCGGCACTGCTTTTCACCACTCAAAAAACTTTTGGAAGTTGTCACAGTTTGGCATCAAAGCGTTCTGCAATTTCGTTGTTAACCTTTGCATGCGAATATTATTTAAGTCAGGTCTTCTAATGAAAACTATGATTTTTATAGAGTTCTTGCACCGTCTTCGGAGAAGGTGATGAGCTGCAAAAAGTAGAAGCAGGAGAAAGCGTTTTTGCATACTCCTTCGAAACGGTTAAGGCAGTTTGTGGGGAAACAGTGACTGTTGCCACTCCTCGAAGCCTTAATCGTGAATTGACAACAATGCCGGAAGTCTTGTGCGATAGCGATCCAAGTTTAAAGCCCATCGCTGGACCGGCTGGACCTTTCAACTGTATGAATAACGGATTGGATTGGCACGCTAGGTGCAAATTTAATTTTGGCTACAAATATTAGGTTGTCAAGAAAATAATGTCGTTTTTATTTGCTTGCTTTAACAAAGCAACCAGACTCAACCTAACAAAGGATAAGCGATATTGTTCGATAGAGCAAAACAAGCTCTACAAGATGGCTTCCATGATCTTGCGCCAAGCTCGATCCACGAGAAGTTTGAACTCAAAAACTTTCAAATGTTAAAAAAGTCGAAAAAAAAAATCAGATCTTTGTCCAATCAATTTATACGGACGTCCCACTCATATACGTCAACGCTTTCGATATCGGGCACCCATATGTGCAGTTGCTGTGTTTTCTCCTTCACTAGAAACGGAGAAAACGAAAATTTTCATAATATTCTCGAAGCAATGCTGAGCCGTTCTTGCATATGTAATTCTATACTACACACCTAGCTAAGCGTACCTGTGGAATTTCAGCCTATTCCGAGATCTATTTTTCGAAAAATATCGATTTCAGCACTGAAACTGAAAAAGAAAGCTGAATTCAATATTTCTCGAAAACTACCGCTCGGAATAGGCTGAAAATCTACAGTCATACTCACCTAGGCTTTTAATATAGAACTGCGCATGCAAGAAGGGCTCAGAATTGCTTAAAGAAAATTATGAATTTTCTTTTTCTCTGTTACTCGTCAAGGAGAAAACACAGCAACTGCACCTATGAGTGCCCGATATCAAAATATAAATTGATTGAGCGAAGATCTGATCATTTTCGACTTTTTGAACTGGAAGTTTTTGAGTTCAAACTTCTCGTGGATCGAGCTCGGCGCAAAATCATGAAAGCCATTCTGTAGAGCTTGCTTTATTCTATAGAACAGTATCCCCTATTTTTTGTTGGGTTGAGTCTGGTTACTTTGTTGAAACAAACAAATAAGAAACGACATTATTTTCTTGAGAACCTAATAGTGTGTAATAATGTGACATGATTTGAGAATTTACGTTTACAATGAGCTACCAAACATTTCATGCTGCAGTCCCACTGCTATTTTGGTCAAGGATGTGCGTGGATCAGACGATTTCAGGGTGAGGTTCTCCATGTTTGAAAACTCGCAAAACGAAAAAATTTCAGGAGTTTAGCATCAATGTCAGCGATATGACTTCGTGGAACCGCCAAGGTTACGTGTTCTCCAGTTATTGCCAGCATGCAACATATGCTGTGGCAGAGTACTACGATAAAAATAATCCAACTATATATTTTTATGGTGTTCAAAAACAAACAGGACTATCAATTGAGTTTCCTCCAACATATTTCGAAGATACTTTCTTGCTTCGTCGAAACTTCACCGTTTTCTTTGTGAGCAATGTGCTCTGCCCCCCAGTGACTCAATAATGTGGATAGAATCGTACGAGGTGTTTTTTGTCTGATGTGCAGCACAGTATTCATCGCGCTTAATCTTTATCGCTAATTCTCAATTTATGACGTAGACTTTGCTTCCGTGTTGTCGCACTCGATTGTTTATTCGATAAAAATTGTTAACCAAACTTTTATGATTAGGAACGAGGCAGGAGGATTACGAGTATGGACAGAATAAAAATTATTGCGCGCCTAGCGACTTGCTTCCTTAGAACAGCTCCCAAGTAACGAATGCAAAATCTTAACATGCGTGTGCTCCATGAAGCACTACAACAGATGAAAGTCCAAACATTTTTTTGAAAAATTGACACAAGCCCCATTCTTTGGAAGCCCTCTCAATATCTGCAAAGCTTAACAAATTTGGCATTTGAAATCGCATATTTGCTGCCCTCTAGAACTAGGACTCTTGTCAAAAGATTGAATAAAAGATCAAAAAACTAAAATTCAATCTAGTCATGTGATATGAAGAAATGCTTTATAGTCAATGCAAACTTTACGTAGAATCATCGACAAATACTGCGATGGAAAAGATTAGAAGAAGCACGTTAAAATAAATTACAGAAAATAAACCACACCAAAAGTCCTATTCAAGACAAAGTGTTTCTTCCAAACAAAATCGTAGGATGCAGAGACACTGTAATTAGTGGAATGAGCGCTTCAGAGTTGCAAGACTTTTTTGGCACTATCTTAACAAATTCTGCGAATCTTTTGACCGTTGTCAAAAAACCTAGGTTCAACTTAGATTTGAAAACAAAAAAAATCACTAAACCTAGTTTCACATCGCTTTGGGACATGAAAGATTTTGTCATAGGCATAAGGAAACTATAAAAATGTCTTAGTTTTCTGTCATAAATCACTTTTGAATTAAATGAGTACAACGCACCTCAAACATCATCGACTAACGTTCCCTTATTCTAGCTTCAAATAGCTAAAACGGTTATAGCTTTGATTGAGTTTCAGCTTGTTACCTCTAAAGATAAAATAAATCCACAGTCTTTGTTCTGCCTCAGACTGGGCTTCAGAAAAATAAGGGCGTAAGCTTGAACACACGTTTCCGTATTTTGGTGCCAAAGTTGTACATTGTAACTGTTGTAGAGCCGTCCCTTATATTGGTCCCCTTATATTTTATAACTTGCCCACTATTGATAGCTAATGCTGAGGCGGCCTATGTGGCTGCGGCGTACCCGCCGCACCTTGCTGTATTTACGTGTTGTTATTGCATTGATCCTAGTGAACCCGCGGCATATACGCCTATGTGTATAAGGGGAATCTTTGTGTTTTTCTAATAAATTGTCAACGGCTCAACGCGTTCCACAACAACTGGCGATCAGGATCAAGGACAAGAAGACCTCCACCGACCAAGGACCAGAAGAAGCTCCACCGACCGAGGACCAGCAGCCCGACCAAGGACCAGCAGCCCTCCAATCAAGGACAAAGAAGCGCTGCAGCTCAGCCAAGCCGGGAGGAAGCTGTTACCGGTCGAGGACAGCCAGACAAGTAAGCGCTGCTAGGAATTCGATTTAGCAGAAGAACTCGTCGACTCCGAAGAGTTCTACCATGCCGAAAGCCAGTGAAGAGCGGCATGGCCATGACTCTTTGGAGAAGGTCCTGTCGGTCATGGTCGATCAAATGCGAATTCAGCAGGAACAAATGCAAATGCAGGCGCAAGCTCTACAGGAGCAAATGCAAGTACATTTGCAACTTCAACAGGAGCAGCAGACGCAATTGCAAGCTCAGCAGGAGCAGATGAAGGAGCTGATCATCACCTTAGCCAGTAAGCAGGGAGCCGTCCAGGATGCCAGCAAAGATCAATACGATCAGCTGAGCAAGGAAGTGCAACGATTTGTCTCGGACGAGGAGACAGGTAACACGTTTGCATACTGGTACGGCAGGTATGGACCTATCATTCGCGACGCCCAGCTGCCGGATCACAAGAAGCGCGACTTAATCCTCATGAAGCTGGACGAAGAAGCCTACCGGAAGTATGCGGATGAGGTCTTACCTGCGCAACCGCACGACTTGGACTTCGACACCACCATCGCGAATCTTCAGAAGCTATTCGCCTCTAAGAAGACCCTGATTAGGAGGAGGTACGAGTGCCTGAGGATAGCCTGTCCACCGCTTACACCAACGTGCGTACCATTTCGCGAGTACGCTAACACCATCAAGCGGATGGACGAAGACGCTCGACTCAAGGAGCTGGATTACACGGCGATGAAGACGCTGCAATTTGTAGCAGGCCTTCAAGATCCCTCGCTCAGGGAAGTTCGCCTTCGGATGATTCGTCGACTGGACGCTTACAAGGACGAAGCACCATTAACAATCGAAGACCTAGTCACGGATTGCGAAAATTTCACTGCTTTGAAAGTGGATAACACGGACATGGAAGGCACTCGCGACGTCCATGCTGTATGGAAGAAAAAGGTAAATTGCTTCATATGCGGAGGACCACACTTCAGAAGAGACTGTCCACAATCTGACAATAGTCGGAAGAAGCGGAGGAAGACGGGAGCCCATGTGAGCCGCAGGCGACAGTGCAAAAATGTGGTCGTTTTCGACGCCGAGAAGGCGCGGACTTATATCGACGTCGTAATAAGAGGATGTTCCCTCAAGCTACAGCTGGACACAGGTGCGGATATAACCCTGATTTCGCGAAGAGCCTGGAAGAGGATGGGATCCCCTGCTCTGGAACCCTGTGTGTTGCCCGTGAAAACTGCCGACGGGACGCCGATGCAGATCGACGGTAAATTTTCGACCGATTTTGAGGTCAAAGATCGAGTTACAGGGAAAACCGTTCATGGAAACGGAATTTGCTACGTCACCGAAGGCTCGAATCTATTGGGATTGGAATGGTGTATCCAATTGCCGGCGTACAAGAAGCTGAAGGACAACTACAACTGCAGAAAGGTGACTAGCGAGGAGAAATTTCGAGCCGAAGTCGTCGCCGATTTGAAGAGGAAATATGCGGAAGTCTTCAATAGCGACTTGGGAAAGTGCACGAAGAGCAAGGCCAAGTTAATCTTGAAGAGCGATGCTGTGCCAGTCTTCAAGAAGAAGAGGCCAGTTCCGTACGCCACGGCACCGGAACTGGAAGCAAAAATTGATCGGCTGGTAGCCGAAGGAGTTATTTCTGCTGTAGAACACTCAGAGTGGGCCGCGCCAATAGTCGCCGTCAAGAAGAAAAATTGCAGGATCCGTCTATGCGCCGACTTCTCGACAGGACTTAACGATGCATTGCAGCTGCATCAGCATCCATTGCCCACAGCGGAGGATGTGTTCACCAAGCTCAATGGAGGCCAACTCTTCACTCAACTCGACCTAGCCGAAGCGTATTTACAAGTGGAAGTCGAGGAAACGTCAAAGGAGATGCTGACTATCAACACACATAAGGGATTATATCGCTATAATCGTTTGCCATTCGGAGTGAAATCGGCACCCGGTATATTCCAGCAGATCATGGATTCCATGATAAGCGGACTTGATGGAGTAGCCGCTTATCTTGATGACATCATCATCACAGGAAGGAGTTACGAAGAACACCGCCAGAATTTGGAAGCCTTGTTTAAGAGAATCAAGGACTACGGATTCCACGTCAGGTTGGAAAAATGCAACTTTCTCATGCCAGAGATTTGTTACCTAGGGTGCATCATCGACAAAAGAGGACGCCGGCCGGATCCAAAGAAGATTGAAGTCATCCAGCAAATGCCAGCGCCGAAGAACATAGCGGATGTTCGGTCATTCCTCGGCATGATCAACTATTATGGATTATTCGTGGCCGAGATGCGCCAGCTTAGAGCACCCCTGGACGCATTGCTCAAGAAGGACGCAAAGTTCGAATGGACAGAGAAATGCCAAAACGCATTCAAGCTTGCCAAAGAAGTCTTAGCCTCCGATCTACTCCTTACACATTTCGATCCTGACTTACAGATAGTGGTAGCTGCGGATGCGTCAGACTACGGAATCGGGGCTGTGATTCTGCACAAGATGCCAGATGGGACAGAAAAGGCTATCTGCCATGCAAGCCGAAGCCTCACAGCCGCAGAAAAGAACTACGGACAAATTGAGAAGGAAGGACTAGCATTGGTTTTCGCGGTCCGTAAGTTCCATCGGTACATATACGGACGCCGATTCAGATTGCTCACCGACCACAAGCCGCTGCTACACATTTTTGGACCCAAGAAGATGGTACCGGTGTACACAGCGAACAGGCTGCAACGATGGAAACTCATTCTACTCGCATACGACTTCGACTTGGAGTACCGCAAGACGACCGAATTCGGACAAGCTGATGCACTGTCTCGACTGATCCCTCCAAGGCCATTCCAAACCGAAGACGTTGTTATAGCGAAGATAGAAGAAGAGGTGCGAGCTGTTCAAGCTGCTGCTGTACGAGCGTTACCAGTAACCCGGAGGAAGATTGAAGAAGAATCTCGTAAGGACGAAACCATTGCGCAGGTCATACGAATGCTGCAATCAGGAGCATGGCCGTCCAAGCCGAAAGGAGAAGTCCGAAATTGGAGAGCACTGAGGGAGAATTTATCAGTGCAAAACGGATGTTTGTACTTCGCCCACAGAATAGTCATTCCAGCTTCGCTGAGACAGGCGGTTCTGAAGCAGTTACACGAGGGACACCCTGGAATGACAAGGATGAAGATGCTCGCAAGAGGATTCGCATACTGGATGGGCATCAACAGAGAAATTGAAGACTCAGTGCGCCGCTGTAGGGATTGTCAAGAAGCCTCCAAAATGCCAGTGAAGACGATGCTGCATTCATGGAAAGTGGAAGACAAACCATGGAATCGACTTCACATTGACTATGCAGGACCGCTGAATGGCAAGATGTATCTCGTCGTAGTTGACGCTTACTCGAAATGGCCAGAAGTATTTGAGATGCCTTCATCGTCAACTACAGCTACCCTGAGAAAACTCAGATCTCTATTCGCTCGATTTGGAAATCCGCAAGTGATCGTGTCGGATAATGGGACGCAGTTCACAGCAAAGGAGTTCCAAGATTTCTGTGAAGAGCGAGGAATCAAGCATATGCGTTCACCCCCATTCCATCCACAATCAAATGGACAAGCGGAAAGGTTTGTGGATATCTTCAAAAGGACCTTCCAGAAAATGAAGGAGGGAGGAACGGCAGAGAAGCTTGCGGAGTTTCTGCAGTCTTATCGACGGACGCCTTGTACAACTGCTCCAGAACAACGTTCGCCTGCTGAGCTGCTCCTGGGACGTCAGATCAGGACACCGCTGTCGCTGCTGAACGAAGACTCCAAAGAAGAAGGAATGGGCAATGAAAACATGGAGAAGCAGTTTAACCGCCACCATGGAGCACGAAAGAGAGCGTACCAGCCACAAGAAGCCGTGTGGGTACGTGATTTTCGCTCTGGATGTGAAAAATGGATTCCAGCTAGAGTGAAGAAACGCTACGGAGAAGCACTATATGGCGTGCTTACTGAAGACGGCCAGTTATGGAGACGACATGCGAACCAGATGCGCCGCGCAGCAAGTATGGATCGCCATCATGACTCGACACAGTCCACTTCCGACGAAGACCGACTTAACAGTGGTTTCGATGCTGCTGAGTACCAAGCCACCTCGTCTACTTCACCGACATCAACCAGACCAAGTCGCCATCGTCGCCCACCAGCACGTCTACAAGTGGATCCTTGTTGTAAGATGTACCGTTGTTCATCTTAGGAGGGAGGTGTTGTAGAGCCGTCCCTTATATTGGAACTTGCCCACTATTGATAGCTAATGCTGAGGCGGCCTATGTGGCTGCGGCGTACCCGCCGCACCTTGCTGTATTTACGTGTTGTTATTGCATTGATCCTAGTGAACCCGCGGCATATACGCCTATGTGTATAAGGGGAATCTTTGTGTTTTTCTAATAAATTGTCAACGGCTCAACGCGTTCCACAACAGTAACGTAACTTTCTGCCATCAAACTTCAAGTAAACTAACTTCATATAGATCTGATGCGGATCATCTTCACGGTTGAAATTTGATTGCGTGAGCCTTGTGGTGTCAAATAGGCAGACGGAAATCTTTACGTTGCCAATACCGAGACGATGATAGATTCGAAGACAGTAACGGCTGGTGCAAACTTGGGACTCATTATTCCAAAAATATTGATTTTTTCCTTGTGCCCTATTTGGTCCCAACCTGAGAAAGGAGAGTCAATGTGCCATGTGCAGAAATTGACATGTCATCATGGCTACAATTTTACCATGAGCTTTGTGCTTCTCACCTATAAACCAAATTCAATATGTTTTTGGCTTCATTTCCTAATTCAACAATTTTGATAACGAACATTATTATCGAGAGATTGTCATCCTTTTTCAATGAACAAGATTTGCTTAAATAGAAAATTGCGTTAGGATTTCATGACGTAAACGGCAGGACAAGCAGCAAAGACTATCCAAGGCGGTATCATTCAATTCAGATTTTTATTTTCTTTCTTACAGCTGTATTTGCTTTCTGATTCACCCCGTCTTTGCAATGTTATCGCTATGGCTTTTTGAGCACCCCAGCAATGGCGCCAAGTGTTTCCTGAATTTTCAAAATTTTTATACTGATATTTTTCAAGAGCGCTAATGACTGTTATGTAGAGCAAACCTTTGGCTACATTGTACCTATTTTAGATCACGTTAGCCGTGTTTATTGCGTCCGTTATGTTTATCTATTTTATAAAAACCGCAGCTTTTTGTCACGCTTACCACGTAAAAGTACCGAAAATTCCAAGAAGCTGGTTTTTGAGGCAAATCAAACTTGATTATGTTGCATAAATGATGTTCAATAACAATCAAGTTTGAATTCGCAGAAACTCCAGAAATTCTTGCTTTTGCTGCAGCTGCGTGTTTCATGACTTTGCTAAAATTCAAGGCCTCCGAAGAAATAATTATTTTGAGCTAATTATAGCAGATTAGGAGAATCCAAAAATATTTTCGTAAAGTCCTGGAATTGCTTTATTTGATCCACACTCAACCCTCTCCGAAACTTGGAAACGAAATCTTTAAAAATTAGCCTAACTTTGAGCAGATAAAAATGATGGGTGAAGAACTGTGGCAATTATCAAAAAAAGCATACAGGATTGCGGCAGGAAAATGTAACTGTAAGAAAGAGAAGGAAAAATTGCATCGAATGCACTTTGAAACTCATTCAGGTCTTTACTGTGCATGATTTTATAGTGGTTTGAAAAAAACCGACAAAACTTTCGGGACAACCTAATAAAAACCAACTTGGCAGTTTCGAGTCGTTTCAGTTACTTTCGTACCTCGTCGGTGATGATTTGGAAAAAACATGTCACATTGGATAAAACGCTTTGGTGCTTTGGTTTTTTTCTTGACGCGTGTCAGAGTAATAGTTCTCATAAAGTTTATAGAAAAATTTTCCGGATCAATGCATGTATTTCATAAGAATTCTATAATAATTAAACGAGAAAAGAAACCCATAAAGGTCTTTAAAAATTTATGTGAATTTGCCGCAAATTCTTGATACTTATTATCAACGGAAACATGTTAAAATGCACTTATTTATGCTTGGCCAGTATCTCGGGCAGTGTGTAAACGAATTTTGTTTCATTACTAGGGATTTTATTGAGTAAAGCATTTTCTGGTGACCATTTTCATGTCTTTTGAAAGTGAGCGCGCAGTTCACTACGGATACTGAAGGGTTTTGATATGTATAAGGAGCCGAGACAAGGCAAAAAAGCAGTGAGAATGTTAGTTGCAGCGCCTCACTTCTACCGAAGTTCTCAAATTGAGCTTGCACTATTATTGAAAGTTTGGCAGCCTATTAAAAATTTAATGAAAGGCAAATAAACTCAATTATGACACCAATTATTATAGTCATAATTTTTTAGGCTAAAATACATTGCTGAATCAATTCTTAACACCTGGTAAAAAGAAATTATCGGATACTTTCTCAGCCTTCGTCTACTCAACAGACATGATAAAAAAACAGGAATAAATTTGTGTAGGTACCGCACCATTGTTTATCATAGAACCCCCACTTTGTCCAATTAGTATTGTGTCAATTGCCGAAAGTTGCGAACCAATCTATGAGTTAAGATCCTGTCCTGGCTGGGGTCGCACCAGCGAAAGTCAAAGTTGCGTCATTACATAACACAGAGTGTCTTAAAAAATAAACGCCTTTTGATGCTGATAGCTCTCTTGCTTCAAATCTTTTGCCAAATCTTAGGCACCATTCTCTAGAGCAACTTAGATTTAGAGTATGGAATCTCCACTTTTTTCGACTGTGGAATTTTGCACATTTTGCATAAAAAACCGGAAATGTTAAAAACTTATATACTGCGCTAATCAAAGTCGCTGATTTCGCATGTGAAATTCGCGTGTCACATAAATGTTCCGTCCTTGAGTTAATCCAAGTAAATCGTACTTTTTCAAAGTTTTTCAAAATTGTGACTATATGTACACTAAAAAAGCTCAGAACTTCTGTGAAAAGTTCTGTGACGATAGCCTGCTCGCCCTGCTACACAATTTTTTAGAGTTTTTAGGAATTTTCAAGAAACGGCCTAACTCACAATGGCGCTATATGCTGAAAATTCTTACTGTAGTCCTACAGCAAAGAAGAAAGGCCAGTAACTGCTCGCTTCAAGTTGAACATTCAAGTTGAAGCAAATTCTACAGGATGGTGCCAATAGATCGAACTTAGCTTTGAACTTTGAAACAAAAGAGTTATTAACGATCAGACTATGTGCACAATTTTTAAGACACTCTACATATCACGCACTTTACTCATTATAAAGTGTACTTAAGAAGAAGCGAACGATTTGTAAGCTCTTGGAAATTCACTATCTTTTATCATTGTTGATATAAAAGCTCACTACTTTCAACCTCTAATGTAAAAATTCCCAGTTCATGTTAACTGTACGTTGCTTTCAACTAAGCATCTCAAATCCACTTTTTTACTGCAGTCAAAAATTCCCAATGAAGGAGTGGTTTTGACAATTATTAGTTTATCTACACTCAACAACTCATTATTGCACATGATTATCAAAGGTAAGGAATGTGAAAGAACAGTAAAGGCACAGCAAGTTGAAACATGCTGAATGATATAACACTGATATGAGGTAAATCTGATAAAAACAATCGAAGTCTTATGTGTTGGTGACATTTGTGTCATTGATGTTCTTTTTCTGCAGATTCCGCTTCCGTATCGTCATAATCGTCTCCAGGCTTCTTGGTTGCATCTTGAAACAAAAGAGTTGATAAACTCCATTATTGTTTCTTAAAAGCAAACATACCTCCATCGACATACTCAACTTCCGTGTCAGGTGGTAAATTGAGTGCACGTTTTTGCTCTTGAACAAGCCTCCGTCTTTCCTCTTTTGAGCTAACTTCATCTAATATTTGCGTTTCTGATGTTACTGGTTTCTTTTGGCTTGCGTTCTGATGTCTGCCACTTCTTTTTTCCCCCTTTTCCTTTGTTTCATCTGCTCCCAAAACTTTTGCGGATGTGTCCGCACTTTCTGGTTTTTCGCTCAAGATCTCATTACCATTTTCATCTACTTCTACTTCCACAATTTCATACTCGAACTCTTCAGTGGGTACAGAGGTTGGCGCAACTGTTGTTGTAACCTTAAAAATGCCAGTAACTAACTCTGAAGAAATGAAAATCCCAACTCACTCTAGGATTTGACTTTGTTGTTCGGGTTCGGGCTGTAGCATGCCTCTTATGGGTAGTTGTTCTTTCCGTTGTGCTAGCTATATTTCTTTCAAGCTCTGTTGTAGTAAAAACTATTGCAGTACTGGGTTCCTCGGTTGTAGTAGTGGGGGGAGCTGTCCATCGATGCTTTGTTGCTTTTGTGGGTCTAGCGGTTGTAGGCTCAAATTCACGTTCTGCTGCAGTAGTTGGGATAGATCTACTAGTTGTCGTTCGCTCGACATTCGGGTCATGTGTGAATTGAGTCTCAGCAACCGCTGTAGATGTAGATGTCAATTCGACAGTGGAGTGAGTGTTTGAAAAGTTTCGAGGTTTCCACACCCGCGTCGCTTTAGTAGTAGATGGCCTGTCAATTTCATTCTCATCATTGAATGCGACTTCGAGTTGTGGCTTTGCTGCAATGGATAAGTCAGTCAAAGCCAGCCATGTATTACTTTACTCGTATAGCACTTTGGGGCGTATGGCAAAAAAGAGGACGGTGATGTTCAGCGTGCAAGTACTGGCGCTGTTGGTAAAAAATATATTTTGATAACAAATCTTGTAGAAGAACTTTATCCTGTTTTTCACAGTGATGTAGTTAGAAACGTATTGTAATGCTGAAGATGCAATTCACAGATACCCAGTTTGGTTATCGACGTCGGGAATTTATATGGTCTAAATCGTTTTTGCAGCTTCTTTATTCAAAAGTTACTGTTCTTGCTAAGGGAACCTCGTTTTCTGAACGATTGCAGTAAGAATGTGTCAAATGAGGAGAGTTTTACGCTCAAGTTCGTTTTGGAGTCAAATTCAAGTGAGCTGTAGGGGGGAATGGTAGCAGAATTGGTATGATGAGATGTCGTATGAAAAATCGCTAACGCCTATACTGCAATAATCAAAATTACTTGAAGTTGAGCGTTTTTGAAGAGGAGGATGATTGTAGAGAATCAGTATCAGCATTTCAAATATCAGCTGTGCATAGAACGTTCGACGAATTCGTGACTACTACGCGTTGAACAACATTTTGGGAAAAGAATTTGGAAAGAATTTGAAAAATTTGTAGCTGTGCAATATTCAAATATAGTACAAAGATGCCTGTTTAACACGTTTCGGACCGGTGCTGCACATGGTGCAGCACGCTGCTTTGAGGGATCTTTCTGGCGTTTGCAGAAGGTTTCCTTTTAGTCTGAAGTTGTTAAGTTAAAGGTCTAACCTCCTATTTTTCAAATGACTCTGTATAGTTGTGCCGCCGATATTTGTTTAGGAGATATGAGCACAAATCGAACAACAGTTGCAACGAAGTGCGGCGACGCGAACGACGCGTGCGACGTCGCAACTTTCCTTTGCTTTGATATCAAGGAGAAAAACCCTAGTTTTGATACTGATGTGTACCGTGTCCAACATAGATACTTTTGAATACTATTAGAATCTGAGTTCTTGTTCCTATCTTTCACGAAAGCACAAAGTCCCTTTCAAGCGACAAAATTCAAACACTTCGATTTCACTCAGAACTTTGGATATGGAGCTTATCTGACATGCTGATTACAAATGTGGCCCATAGGCTGCGAAAAAGGTCCCTTTGTAGGCTAACGGCTGAAAGTACACTCTTTTTCGCCGCGCGCGATTTCGCGGTCCGAAACGTGTTAAGCAACTCTTCAACAGGCTTTCCCATGACACATGAGCCAATAGTAATCTCCTCCCTTTCTCTAGTGACAGGCTTTTCCCTAAGCCTGTCATTGTCACGAAAAGCCAATCTCGTTTATAGCATCTTAACACAATTTTTACGCTAGATTTCCTGTTGGAAGAAGATCATTGGACGCAGACCATCAGAAAAGACCATTGTTTTAGCTTGAGAACTTGAGTTGACTTCTCCTCTCGATAAAAAACATCAAAGAGTGCAAGCGACAGTCTTTCCAGCCACCTAGTCAAAATATTAGGTCGTCCCGAAAGTTCTTGCGCACGATTTTCAAAAATTCAGGACTGCTGATTTTTCCATCCGATTTGACTGTTTTTATTTTTGTATGAATGAGTAAGTCATGCTCTTTATAATGTCATCTTTGCTGCTTGCCAGTGATCATCTGTTGCATAGATAGGAGCGATAGAATAAAATTGGTCAAAATTTGAATTTTTTGTGTAGAGTCATAAAAAATCGGTAACTTGCAACAAAAACCCAAGCAATCGGTATTGTAGGTTTTTTCACCAGCTCTTTCTAACAGTGCAAAGATTGCGCCGATTGAGCGCCTCTATGAAAAGTTACGATTTTCGAGCAAGCAATACAAAAAGGCGAATTTGATTTATTTTGGCATTTTTCAGGGAAATCATAACTTTTAATAGAGGCGCTCAATCAGCACAAACTTTGCACAGTTAGAAAGAGCTGGCGAAAGAACCCGTAATACTGACTGCTCCGATTTTTGCTGCAAGTTTCCTATTTTTTATGACCCTACACAGAAAATTCAAATTTTGACCAATTTTCTTCTATCGCTCCTACCTATGCAACAGATGATCATTAGCAAGCAGCTAAGATGTCATTACAAAGAGCATGACTTGCTCTTTCATACAAAAATAGAGGCGGTCAAATCGGATGGAAAAATCAGAAGTTATGAATAATTTTTGAAAACCGTGCGCAAGAACTTTCGGGACGACCTAATACTTGACAGCTGCAGCAAAGATATATAATGTGCGCTCTCAAAAAAGATGCCAGCAAATTGTTCTGCTCTCACAATATCGAGGTGCAATTGAGTAGTGCGATAGTACCATACAATTCACGTTTTAGTATTCAACTTACTCAAAATCTTAGCACCCTTAGGCGATTAGCTAACAACGACTTAGACCTGTTTGATGACATATTTAAGTTGCAGGTAAACTTTACACATGGTTTTGGAAATCTGAACAAGATCTGACCTACCTTCTAAACCAAGTGGATCTGTCGCAAACTCGTCTACGCCGTTCGTCTGAAAATATGCAAAATAAAGAAAAATTCTGTAGATACTCAAAGTTCGTTAAGCGGTGCTCAAAAAACTGACGGCCGCATGATTGGCGCAAAGTAAATTAACCTAGAAATCCTCGCGGCTTAGTATTCATTTAGTTTATTCAGTTCTCGTTGATCAACTTTTACTTTCCACGCCTTCGCTTTCAAATGTGAGGACTATACCATTCAACAGTCGGTGCGGAGCAGACAAGCATATAAAAGTCATGACCAGGGTTAAGCCGGAGGTGGTGGCACATAACCGCCGGATACCCCCCCCCCCCCCCCCCATCTAAGTTCTGCCTCGGTAGCTTCCCCGCCTTCCGTTTTTCGTTTGCCTACCGTAAGCATGACATAAAGGCTTTAACAAACATAAGCAGTAACATAATTGTGATCATCATGTCATACGACCCCTGTGGCCCAAGCTTTAGCGAATTTTGGTGTTTTCCAATAATGGGCCACCCAGTTAAAGTGCCCATTTTCAAACATGCTTGACTATACTTCAAAAGTGAATTAGCTACATCTTTTCGTACTTAGTACGAAGCACTACTTCCTATTTGCCCATACCATGAATCCTGCTTCAAATAACAGTCAAACTATGGAATTAGGGGCAGCCAAAAAATTTTGTTTGTCCTATTTTTCGTTTAAAATGGTTGTGCTTCCAGCAACTATTGCTGAAACGAAAGAAAAACGAATTCAGCTCTAATTACTTCTAAAAAGCTAGAGATTTTGGCTATCGAACTGTATATGATTTGTTTCCTAAAATTCTCTTTGGAGGTAAGCTGATGGGGTGAGGCACAACCCCAGAAAAGCTTTGGCTGCACACCTTTTTAGGGGTTGTGCCACACCTAGAGGTGCGCTAGTGGGAGCCCGAGTCTCACCCTACCTTCACTTTTGCTGATACAAGCTGACCACCTTCACTTTTGAAATAAAACTTTTCTTCGCTGAACGATAAAGAAGGAAAATAAGCAAACAAACGTACCTATTTTTATGCATACGGCGGCAATGATTTTTGGGGTTCAATGATTTTTGCGGCTCTAACCCGGGGTGGAGACTTTTCATACTAAAGTCTCCACCTCGCCCATGTTAATGCATTGGCTGGAGGCCGCCAGTGGAGACTTTGTGATGAAAAGTTTCCACTCCCGGGCATATACCGTGAGAGGCGCGAACCCCCACATATTATATACCATCTGACAGCTCTTGAAGAGGGAAATTCCTATGAAGTCGCAATATGATTCATGCATTTCTTAAGAAGTTATGAGCTGTTAAATTTCAAAAAGAGCTTTTTTGCCTGCTCTTTCAAGACCCTGGATCCGGCGCTGTTTCGATGGATCGGTACGGCTAAGATATATGCTGATAAAACAGATCTTATCCTACAAAACCTATAAAGTCGCAACATCACACACTTTCACATTCAAGATTTATATGAGTTTAACTGTCAGCTGTCACTAAACACGCTAAAATTGCGTAATTTTTTATAATTTTGGTTTTCGGCGACTATTCCTCAAATCGATTCGATTTTTTTACTATCTAATAGAGCACCACTTACTCTTTAAAATTTATTAAGTCGCAATTGCTGACATCTTCACACATCAGATTTATAACAGTGGAAATTTCGCATGATTTTTCGCTATTTAATTATTCAAAATTCTGGTTCTCGGCGGTTATTCCCTGGATCGACCTACTTTCTTTGCAATATGTTATGACGAAATTTACTTATTAAAATCCGTACAGTCCCGCTAGCTTTTACTTCCAAATACACCATTTGATAAGCACGTTATTTTAGATTTTTATGCCGCTGTCTGGCGGCAAGGACTTGGAAGGATAGGCTCAGTCGACGTTGACGCTCCCTCCCCCCCCCCCATCGACGTTTTTGGTAGGTGAATGATAGGTGAGTGACCGGAACTACCACCTTCCCTTTTGGCGTTCAGAGGTAGCTGGGACCCCGGCCAGTCGACGTTGACGCTCCCCCCCCCCCCCTTCGACGTTTTTGGTAGGTGAGCGACCGGAACTACCACCTTCACTTTTAGGGTACTCGGCTCCCCCATCTCGCGAAAGAAGGCGAAATAGAATATATTAATATGAATATACTAGCTTGCTTACCCGGCTCCGCTCGGCCTCTGTCAAAACACTGTAATAAAGGTCCTATCCCTATCCCTGTACAGCCTTTCCGTGCCCACTTCCACGCTTCATTTCCCGTTTCCTGTGTTGTTTCCGAAAGCAGCATGCCCACTTAGCCCCATATGCCAACTCCCAGCCCTTCAGCTCGAATTTAAAAAAACACGATAAAATCGACAAAAGTAATAGGTAATACCAAAAACTAATATTGTATTCGTAATCAGCATACTTGATCACCCACCTCCATGCCAAATCCTAGCCCCGTAGGTGAACTCTCCATAAAAATCGATAAAAATCGATAAATTTGATATTGATCAGTAACGAAAAGTAGCCTATGACACACGCTCCCCGCTCCGAAGTATATGTGTGCCAAGTTTGGTCCAAATCTTTTCAGAAATGAAAATTTCTGTTCCGCACATACGTACAGACGGACAAACAGACACTCAACTTTATATATAAGATTTGATAGCCTAAGGCTCATAATACATAAAAGTGATTTGAGACTGATTGGACTTTTCTAGTCTGAGATATTGAAGGCGGAATATGGAACAGACAAAAATTTGGCTTGTTCTTAACTCTGTAGGAAAGTAATCGAAGCGCGATTCCTAATGGGAGCGAAGAAGTTGTTATTCTTTGTATAAAATGCAGAAAGAAGCAGTTAACTCATCTTCGAAACTAATGTAACATGTTTTGACCACTTCACTTGGATGGCCCAATATTTGGAAACTTTAAAATTTGCTGAAACCTGGCCCATAGATAGTGGTTATTTGGCATGCTGATTACGAAAGTAATGCTTTTATACTTTTTAGGCTCTTTCTATGCTTACAGTGCATGCGATGTTGCACAATGGGTCTATCTAACATTGTTAACGAATATCATGCTATCGCTAACATCAGATACCCCCCTCCCCGACTTCTCAATACGACCTCCAGAAGTGACATGCCGTACCCCACGCTTGATCTTGGCCATGACTCACAAGCCAACGTACGCAAAATGAAGTTTGCGAGCTATCCCAAAAACTGCATACGTTTATCATTAAGAGGGAAATTTCTATTTTTGGTTAAGTTTCTTTGATCGCAATATAACGAACAGCGAGTTTACATACTTGCAAATACTCGCCAAAAGGACTCAGAAGACATGCATTAGGTTGATAAAGCATGAAGATTAAGACTATCTTGCAGCACCATTTACTAGCAATGTTTGCAACCGCTTTGAATTCCGGAATATGACGTATAAATATTTTGAATTGATTGCTGCACACAGAACCAGTGTGCATATATTTAGCTGACACTGTAGTCGGAGGAGATACCTTGTTTATTTTGAGACTTAAGGACTTGAGACGGTTCTTACATTGTCCAAACAGCTCGGACTCATTCTTCTCCTTTCAAGAAGTTCATATTGCTAGATGAGGTACCATCGAGTGAGCCGTTGACCGCACACCGGCTGTAAATTGCGGAGCACGAGCCGCGCGGGCAAACGCTTGCACCAGTGCGAAAAGCGAAGAGTTGAAGCCAAAAACGACAGAAATCGAAGCGCCCCAAAAAACCAAGAAAAAATTGGACGTCCGTTCAGAAAAATCCTTCAAAATTCTCAACTTGCTCATGCATTGCCATTTCGTATAAGACACTTCTCTATGTATTAGGCTGATGCATAATTCCTGCACCAAGATAGGTACAAACCGCAATAGTCCGGAACAATCCTATATTCCAAATAGAATTCGATATATCATTAGATAGCGCAAACCTAGCCCTACAAGATAGTTCTCAAATATCTGCACCAGCTTTGATCCACGCGAAGTTTTAAGCCGAAAACTGAAAAAAACCAAGCGTCCGAAAACCTTAAGACCAATCAGAACAAAAGTGTAACTTCGTTCAAAAAGCTCCTACAAAAGTTCTTCTTTGGCTCATGCGTAGACATTCCACGTAAGACATTTATCTATGCGGCTGCTGTATTTTATCTCAGCTAGACGATGAGAAAACGAAGTTTTTCATTTTTTTGCCAAGTTAGTGCTGAGATGTTCTAGCACTAACAGGTGTGTAGTACATGTCGTTAGCAGTATAACTTTACATTTTAAGCCGTCTAGAACAGCTAGTTCACGAGAAATGACGAATCTAGCTCTCCTTTTCCAAATTTTTCTTACCTAGTCTAAAAATTCGATTCGTAAAGCAGCTGCTGTAAAAACCTGAAAATTCACACTCACGCTTCTAATATCCTACAGTATATAAATACCAGTGCTAGAACATCTCAGCACTAATTTAGCAAAAACATTAAAAAACTTCGTTTCTCAATTTCAAGCTGAAAGAGAAAAAAAGCAACTGCATAGAGATATGTCTTATACGAAATGACAATGCATGGGCAAATTAGAAATATTGAGTGATTTTTCTGAACGGACATCCAATTTTTTCTTGGTTTTTCAGTGCGCTTAGATCTTTGTCGTTTTTGGCTTCAACTCTTCGCCTGTATCAAAGCTGCTGCAAAATTTAAGCACTATCTTGTAGAGCTAAGTTTGCTCTATCTAATGATATATCGAATCCTATCTGGGGTATAGGATTATTCCAGATTGTTGCGGTTTGTACTTATTTTCGTGCAGGAATTATGCATCAACTCAATACTTAGACAAAATTTGAAAGCATTTTGAGCATCTCACTTTTGAAATGAATGATATTAGTGCCTACCAATCTATGCCCGATAGTAGACAGTGATTTCCTCGTACCCAATTTAAACTATTTATTTCTCACTCCACTGAGTTATCCACTAGCTACCAATTGATGACTTTAAAACTCTGGCGGGTTCGGAAATCAAACCTTCGATATGCCGAGAAAGTTATTGCATCTTCCTAGTTGCTACCAAAACGTACAAGCAACCACG